TATTATTTGAGCATTTTCTCTGCAATATTTCTTTGCAGCTCATATTTCGATCGGTCGATTTTATAAATTTTTTTGTGGAAAAAAGCCTTTTGAAAATTTAATAGTATAATAAAAATTGAGGTTATATTGACGGTTGCGTTCACAAAAAAATTATTTTTATTTTTATAAAATTCTTTTAAATTTTATAGAATTATATAGAGATAAAATTATAATTTAGAGAAATTACAATTATATAGAGTATAAATTATAAGTTATATAAATAATTCTATAATTCTAATAAAAATTATTTTTTTTTAAATAACAATTAATTATTTCTCTTTTAAAGATATTTTTAATCTTTAATTTTTTTTTATTATTATATATTTGGGAATTGGAATTATTCGACCGAATCTTTATTGTTCGATTTCAATTTAATCTGAAGAAAACTCCAAAAAACATCAAAAATACGTACTATTTTACGTATTTTTGTATGAACATCGCTGCCGGTAATAAAAGCAAATGTATTAATAATAATAATGCTAAGGCTTAAGGTAATGTTTTAATTCAGTTCACATTCGCTAATGAACAAATAAAGGAACTTATCGAAGACAACAATAATTTATTTATTATATAAATTGACTGCATCTGATTAAATCTGATTTACATACGAATTCCTAATTTCGGTAAATGAGAAAGTCGTTCCGCGAAGTGTGGCTTTATATTAGTTGAGTTTGATACGTTTGTGGAGATCATCTTCGTCGTTTTGGATACAAACATAAGTTGCATCATTACTCTTCGGTTGTATTTCGCTTTCTCGGAAGATAGCCACAAAAAATTTTCGAAAATTTTGAAAAAATTTTGAAATTTTTTATTTTGGAATTTTGTGTAATTTTAAATACAATTTGCATTTATTATATGATTTTATGTGCAGTTTATTTATATTAAATGTTTATTTATATTAAATTAAATATTTATATTTATATAACATTTTTATTTATTCATATTATGAAATGTTTATTTATATTTTATATTTTATATATATCAAATGAATCAGTTTATTTATATTAAATATTTATTTATATTAAATTATTTATTTATATTTATTTATATTAAATTAAATATTACATTTATATAATATTTTTATTTATTTATATTATGAAATGTTTATTTATATTTTATATTTTATATATCAAATGAATCAGTTTATTTATATTAAATATTTATTTATATTAAATTATTTATTTATATTTATTTATATTAAATTAAATATTATATTTATATAATATTTTTATTTATTTATATTATGAAATGTTTATTTATATTTTATATTTTATATATCAAATGAATCAGTTTATTTATATTTATATTATGAATAAATGAAAAACCTGGCTACGATTATTAATAAAAATTAATATTATAGACGATAATAATATTAATGGCTAAAAAAGATTATTGTCACTCACTTCACATTCACTAATGCATAGATGGACAATATCATAGAAAACAAGGTTGATTCTTTATAAGTAATAATTAGATTATCAAATAATATAATAGAGAAATTTTTTGGCCAAAAAAGAGAATGAAAGCGATTTTAGCTGATTTTTTTTCTTAACAATCATTTATCAATTAAAAAACGATAGTTTTTCTCAGATTTCTAAGGCAGTCATACTAGGGAAAATTACGTGGCTAATTTGTCCTCAGATTTGTCGAACTAATAGCCTAAATGTTAAATTTTTTTAGAGCCGTAAATCTTTATCAACAAATCTTTATATCAAATATTAGAAAATATCAGATATTTAGAGAAAAGTTCAGACATTTAGACGCTTATATGAAATTTGATTAAATCTTCAAACAGAGTTTTAAATTTCAAATGGATATGTCCAAATGGATATATATTAATAATAGAAAAACCGAGAGGAAAATGTAAACTGGCATGAAAGCGTAGAACATTATTATTATTATTTTATTATTGTTATTTTATTATTATTATTTTATTATTATTATTTTATTATTATTATTTTATTATTATTACAGGTTCGTTTCCACAATTTCCACAATTGTTGATGTTGCTTTTATGTATAAAAAATTTTATAAAAAACCCACATTACAATAAAATAATAGAATAAATATTATAATAATAAATATTACAATTTCAATTTTTTTATTTAGAAAAAAAAAGAAAAAAATCTGAACAATTTATAAAATAATAATTTACTAACAATCAATAATAATAATAAATTAATAATAATCAATGAAAAGAATTATCACTGATTTCGATAAAATTCTTCAATCATTAATTAATGATTAGGAAGTGACAGTGAAGTGACTGCCTTATGTATTAATATTTCTTATATTTTTATTATATTTTAATGGTGAAAAAGAAAAATAATAAATTGGATTGATCGAAATAATTTACATTCTATTTCTAAATAACAGTTTTACGATTATTTGCCATCATTAGCAGTTCTCATATATTTTGGAATATCCCATTGAATAATAGGTTAACAGTTTATTGCTGATTATGATAATCAATTTATGGTCTAATTTGTCCAACAGATAAGAGCGTTTTTGGTATGATTTAATAAAAATTATTATTACAAGAAATTTAATAAGTAATGCAATATTTAATACAACATTCAATGTTTTGTTTATCGCAAAATTACTAATGAAATAGAGGAAATTTTTGGTTAAAAAAGAAAATGAAGACGATCTTAGCTAATTTCTTTTCTTATCAATCAGTTATCAATAAAAAAACGATATTCCTTTTTAGGAAATCTTTTACGATTAAAACTCATTTTCATATTACCAATATCACGCTTCTATAATAAAGGTTAATCAGTTGAATAAGGCATATTCGCTTGATTCAATGAAGTACCAATGAAGAATTATTGTATAAACAACGAAAGCATTATCAAAATTCAAAAAAATTATCACCGTCACGATAGAGCAACATAGTAGCGAAAATCAAGGATGTAAAACGACATAACAGCGACAATGAATTTAAAATTATAAAGTTTTGAGTTTTATTTGTTTGTTTTAATACTTTCCAAATTTCTAAAAGAAGCCCTCCTTTTGGCAATATGCAGGGTTTAGCAAGAATTTCTGGACGAATTTTATTAAAATTTATCAAATTTTTTGGATAATTTACTAATCCTTAGAGATTTACTATTAATATTATTGTTAATATTATTGTTCGTTTCTACTGTCAGCGAGAATTAGCTTCTTTAAAGGTGTCTTCTCAGCTGCCACTTGGATTTTGTTTCTAGTACGATGTCTTCCTGGATAAGAACTCAATTTGCCTTAAAATGAAGCAAAAAGCGATTCTATTTAAGATTCACGCATATTTTATATTTATGCATAAAATATTTATTATGAATTTTTATAATTTCAAAAATAAATTTCTTTAAATTTTATCTGCCGAGAATGGTTTAAAAAAAGTAGAGAAACATTTATTCTGAAAAAGAACAATACTTTTTCATATTTTACAGAGCGTTTCTTTTGGTTAAGAAACCGTACGACCTGGCATTTTGGTACTTATCAACGATACTGACTGGGAATTACTTTCTCAATTGTCAACTGAACTAAAAGATGGTGACATAATACTTTTGTATCAACTTTACATGGTGGATGATTTTAATTTAATCCCTTTGTTGAGTATTAACCTTTGGCATGAGTAAAATAAACTTGTCTTTAAAAATGGAATCCCTTTAAAGGTATGGAGGTAAGATGTGCCATTGTTCCCCAGGTGATTCATCTTTCTTCTTGCAGCTCGCACCATTTCATTCGTTCTTCATATTATTTGTTAAAAAATTTTTTAAATTTAATATATTTAAATGAAATGTGGTTTATGTTAAGTGGTAATCAGTATAGTTTCACTTTCAAATATACCCTATTATTTGACACATAAAAGACATTTCGTAATATTTTGTACTATTAGTATTGGTATTGGTAGTGAATTCCAGGATATCATTATCGTTTTCTTGGAAATTAAAAAAACTCTTAATTTCTCTTAATTTCATACTTATTAATTTCATAATTCACAAAACTCTTAATTTCAATAATTTTAAAATAATTTATAATAATAATTTATAATAATTTTTTATTATCCTTTATTTTCAGAAATAAATTTTCAAAAAATTTATTTAAATTTTGAATATGAACCCATATCTTTGGTTAACAGTATTTGCCAAATTTTCCCGTTATTTTTAATGAGGAAATCTTTAAAGTAAAGTTATGAAATTATTTATCAAAATTGGTCAAATTTTTTTTAAAACCAACATCAAAACACCATATATATGTTTAGCCTTAAAAAGAAAACTATTACTACGCTAAATAAAGTATTTACCTCAATGTTTATGAAATCCTTTAAGTCGCAGCCTCAATGCATTGGTGGAATTTTTCGTTATTTCGCTTTCTTTCCATGTTTTACTAAACCAACTGTATAATATCAACGTATAGATGAGTTGCTTCTGTTTAGTTGTTTTCGTAAATATAGTGCGTTATTTAATAGTGAATATCTAGTTAAACTATGAGTACTTCGCAAGATCAGCAACGTTAGCAACGTTAGCAATCTATAAGCAAGCAACTTCATTAATGCACTAGTGAACATTATCACTTCATACAGTACTCTTCTTATTTTATCGATAGTATTTTATATATATATATACCACTTGTACGCTATTTCGATTGACCCCATTAAGTGTTACGCTGAAAATGTTTCGGCTGAAAATCATTTGAAAATAGATTAGATTTCAGATTAGATAAAATGGATTTCAGAAACAGTAATTTCAGGAAATATTTTATTCCTTTTCAAAATATTTTCTAAAGAAACATAATCTAATCTAATTAATCAAAAAATCACATTCCATATCCGCTAAAGAAAGCAAATTATCTTACGAAAAAATTTGCTAAAAAATACAATTCAAATTCAATAAATAAATTCAATAAACATAAAACATACTACTGAAAACTGAGGTATACAAAAGGTGAGAATTATATACATATAAAACATCCACACCGCCTCAATTTTTACAAATATAATCGACTAATGTATCGTGAGGCGGTACAAAATATGGTTTCAAATTCCGTACTTTTATAATTCGTTCAGGATGGATACCAACTCCTAAATACCACTTTATTTTATTTTATTATCTTTTACCTAAAAAATGAAAATGAAAGAAACGAAGAAAAAATTTTCTCTAAACTCTGGTTCACCTTAAAACCTAAGAATCGAAACGACACTCTTCCGATCGCTAAACTATATAATTTATTAAAAAAACTATCCTTTTTTCGATATTTATCATTGAATTTATCATTCGATATTTAAAGTTAATCTTAGAAAAGTTCGAGCAGAAATAAAAAACCATTACAATATATAAATAAAACAAAGAGAATTAACTCACCATATGAATTTAACAATAAATATCGAGAAACACCATGCAGAATTAATCTCTGGAAAGAACAAGGAATAACTGGTGAAATCCATTCCTCAGACTTATCTTTCACAGAGAGAAAGAACGAGCGAAGTTTTTCTTCGTTTTCATTAATTAAATTCTATAAAAGATTTCACCGAAGATTAAGTATAGAAACAATTTTATAAATTTTCTTCTTACTTTTTCCTTCATTATTTTTTCTTCCTTTGCTTCATATAAATCGATTTGTCGTAATCTATAATTATGAAAAAAAAATACTTTAGGAATGTTCCTTTTTCTAAATAATTTTTTGAAACGAATTGGTAAACGAGCAAAACAAGCGTCAGCACTATACAACGGATTACCTAAAAATTTAGAATTTTTGTGGCGTTTCATTCAATAAATTTTATATAAATTTTTGAATTCTTCTGAATTCTGAAGAGAAAGACATCATCATAATTCACTAAATAAACCTTCAGTGTTAAAATCTTCGTCAATGAAACTAACGAGTTCCATTTTCATTATCATTTTTATCATTTGAAGCTGATCTCTTGTACGAATGTTCAATACCGAAAAGAAATTCATTCTGTTCTTCCTCATTTTTCTCAATAAAGTCGATCCAAATCTGAAAAATCGATCAATATATACTTTTATTTTATTTCATATTAATATTTTACTAAAAACCGAAAAGTGGAAAATTGGAAACCTTCATTTTTGTCTCATCATTTAAAAGCAAATCAAATGACGTTTCATTATTCGGTAGTAAATCAGAACAATCAAAATAAATTTCATCATCCGCATAAGAAAATAATGCCAACTCTTAAAATATAGCTAAATATTTATAACTAACTGATAACTGATTTTTCAATAAATTTAAAATTTTTTACCAAGTTATTTATCATTTTATTTAATAACCTTTTGTAAAGCAATTTTTTTTTCAAAAATTACTTAATTGCCCGCATAATTCATTTTCTTCTAATAGCTTTCACCATAACTGATTAGGCTGGCTCCAATAGTTACAAGCATAAAACGCTTCCAAGCGGCACGGACTGATGCCATCATCGACTATAATAGAAACCATTCCTTTCTCCATCGTCTAAGTCCATATATTACTGGTCCATCTATACGTTCAAAATCTTTCCTCACCGTATTAGTCCAGGATTTAGCAAGTGACGAAACATTTGTCAACCCTTGTGGTGGGCAACGTGTCTTAACCAACGAAAACGCTTTGTGATGGCCTTGTTAATGCAAAGTGATATTTAAAGAAAGGTGGAGATGGATGAGATTTTATATACTCTGCAAACCCGTAAAATGTCAATTAGATATGAATGGTCAAGGTATATAAATTTTTAATATCCTTCACTCTTACTGTCCATGTTACATAGCCATATAGCAAGACTGAACGAATCGCGGCTATATAGATACCGACTTTCATTTTTATGGTAATTTTACGACGACTCCATAAAGGTTTGACAAATGGAAGAACATTTCTCATTGTCATCATACGGGTTATATCCTTTTTTGCCGTGTCATTCGATATTAGAGTGGATCCAAGGTATTTAAAATCAGGCACTTCCTCAATCAGCAATGATATTTTCACCAAGTTATTTATTTTTTTTTTAATTAATAATCATTTATAAAATAAATTTTGGTCTTTTTTTTAAAAAAAATCCCTCGTGATAAAGCACAGATTTTAAAAACTAACCATTCTCTCGACGCCTCAGCTTTCTGTTGCCACAGTTCCGTTTGTTTAATAAATCCTTAACAAGTAAATCACGACTGAAACATTTCGAGTACGGTTCCTATAATATTTTTCATTTCTGAACCAAAAAAGAAATAAATTTGGAACCACTAAATATAAATGGTATTTCGCAAAAATATCTTCAATGTCTTTAACTGACTTTTTTTTTTCCAATGATGCACACTATTTCACACTATTTCTGCAAGGACAGATAAGAAAACAATATATCACCTGCAATATTTTGTCCTTCCTACTTCTCCATTCCTGCCTTTTTCTTTCTCCTCTCTTTATTAATTAATTAAAATGGATAAGTGAAATATAAATCGATATAAAAATAAAAAATAAAATAATTATTATTTCTGTTAATACTTTATTCTTTTTTCTCTTTCGCTGGCTATTGTTATTTACGCGTTCTCCAGATTCTTCTTGATTTTCATTATTCTCATTTCCACTATCATTATCATAAAGAACGAATCTAAACACCATAATTACTTACGCCGTTTATTTATGAACTAAAATCTACAGAAACAAAAAAAAATATATTGAAAATAATTCGTAAAATTCAATTATATCAAATATTTTATGTCATATTTCCATCATTTATCATAATTTTGACCTTAAAAATAATTTTGATATTTATGAGATGAGACCAATGACTGATTAATTTATCTAATCTTCTAATCTTCAGTTTAAATGCAATATTGACCAGCCAAACCTAGTGATTCAACTTGGCCTTGCATCTTCATTTGAGGGCGTTCACCAATGCTGGTTAGCTCCACTGGATTATCGAATCGAACCAAACAAATCTTGTCAGAGAATCATTAGGAGATAGAAAAACAGGTGAGTCACCAGCATTACCTGGATTTTTGAAAGTCTAATCTAAATCCTGCCGGAAATAGAAGTAAAGCAGTAACTTACTGAGCTACTCTCTCCAATCTCTCGCTGCTTTCATCCTCCCCCCACTCCAAGTCTCCAGCACTACTTATTATAGATTTTTGGTTCATCTCTGACTTTATTTGTTTTTTTTTGTGAACAAACAAATCTCCAATTTATGAAGAATTCGGCCGATAAGGTGAGAATATTAAAAATAAACTTAAAAAATGCTTCCTTTTCTAAAAATACTTACTCGCCGTAGTCATAAATTTTTTCATCGGATAATAATGGAATTCGCCGTGTAACTCCCATTTCTTAATTTCCTTATCCTTTTTGTTCTAAAAAAAAAATATTTTTTTCTGAGACATTTTTACAAAACTATGGAAAATACTCGACGAATATAAAATAATTTCCTTTATTTTTTATGTTAACTGCTTGCGATGATGCGAATTATAAGGGAAAAACCGCTCGAATAATATAACCTTCCAGCTAAGGTTACGTGCGTTCTTCCTTGCAAGATGGAGTGGTACTACACTTCTATTTTAGATTCTGCAGTTAACGAAATTTACTGAAATTAACCGAAACATATCATCCATTCTACAAAAAAAAAACTTAGCAATTTAGAAATTTCATAAAAAAACAGATTTCATTAAAAAAACAGCAATAAACCTAAAAGAGGAGGAAAAAATATGGAAATCAAATCTCATAAGGAAGACTATCATAGAAATAAACGTAACATTTATAGTAATTGGCGACGAATTTGATAAGCGATTGTAGAGATTGCACAAAAGCCATTTCATTTTTCTGACATATCTTATCAGTGAACACTATTTATTCGTCTTTGCTCACTGATAGCTCATTAATTAAAAACAAAAAATGCAAGAAACGAAAAACAAGAATAAAAGTGATCAAATGGTTATGTACCGCATCAACGAAGAACGAGAAACACAGTCCACGAAAGGAATAAACCTTATCATTAACAGTGAAACTGCGACTGATTATGGGAACTCAACTGTATTTTTTTATCAATTATCACTACGCATGATTAATTCTGGCGAAGGGCTCGCATACCTGTAATTAACGTAATCACGTAATTTTTTGTATTTCACACCGAAAAATTCCTTTTTCAGCCAATGAAACAAAAATAAAAAAATTTGATCCTTCATTTGAAAAAATCACGTACGTACTAACGTGAAACGCATAGCAAAATCCGCTCGGCAAAAAAACGCAAAAAATATCTCCAACGACGCAGATTTTTTAGACTTTGCGGCAGCCGATCAGGAATAAACTTGTATATATCTACAGCTGCGGCCCACATTTTACGGCCGCACCGGCTTTTCATATTCTTTTTTGGTCAATCAATATTTTGCAATTTTGTTTATTTATATAAAAAGTAGAAACAATGTAAAATATATAAATTTGGGATCGGAAATTTTAAATTTATTTTTTTTGTATGAAATTTATTTTGAATTAGTATATTTTACGATTCAAAAGATAACGATAAATTTACGTAAGGCAATTGGACGTATGTCAATTGCGCGTTCGCAAAATTGCGCCTTTTAATTTTGGCGCGTATACGACGACCTTCATAATTTTGATCAAATCTGAGGAAAATATATCAATCGATAGGCCAAAGGGTAAGAAGGAAAATGACTAATTTTCAGCGGAGATGACCTTTGAATGATCGGCTATCGATGGTTATTTCTTACACAGTTCCCACTCGAATAGTAACAAAAAATTTGTTAAGGTACTAGCGAAACGACTGATCTTATCAATCGCTTCGATTCTCTTTTTTTTTTTAAATTTTTTGCAGTGGTACTTTATTTTATAAATTGTTTCCTCGTTGCTAAACAAGTTGGTTTTCGGTTTATTGGGCAAATTAGAGTTCTCACTCGCAAGAACAAATGAATGACTCGTGCTAAAATTATTAGATTTAGCGATAAACTGCCATCGAGATCGCCTATTTATATGGCCGACGGGAATAGAATGGCTCAGTGGATTGTTGCTTAATTCAGTCAAGCCGATGCTGAGGTTCTATTCCTCGCAGGAGTAAATCTGTCCAAAAATCCGAGTGATGCCTGGTGACTCGCCTGTATTTCTATCGCCATATAAGGGACCTCCTGGCGTGTTTGTCCAGTGCGATAAGCCAGCGGAGCGAGTTTCCAGTAATGGTGAGAAGTGTCTTAAAAAAAAAATTGGTCGACCTGCCATGACAATAGGCCTATAAGTAAGGGCCGTGCTAAATTGAATGATGCGTTATTTCGCTGTAGAATAGGCAGTAGGGGCTCCTTGTTGCTTAACGAGGATAGACCTGTTATCGTATCGTGAATGAAATTTGAGTGGTGAATGCCGAGGACGTATCGCTTTCCTCAAGTGAAAGTAAAGCAAAAGGAAATAGTACGGCGATAGTTGAGAATACAGAGATAGGAAAGAAAATCTGAAAAAAGTACGTAAATATGCGATGCATATTGTTCGAAATTTTTTTCAAATAATTTCATTTTTTTTCGCAAAATTTTTTTTACAATATTTTATTATTTTATATTTTTTCTCAAAAATATAATTCTTTTCTTCTTTCTTTTTTAAAAGTGGAAACGAGAAAATTTAGTTGATTTGAATTGCTTATCAGCAACTTCTCTTATCAGTTGGTAATTCTTATCATTTTAATTTTCATTTTTATATTTTATATTTTTCATATTTTCATTCATTTTAATTGTTAATAAGTTTGTTGCGAGATATTTATTTGATATGAAATGCTGTTTAGATGAACTGTAATCAACTAAGCAAAAAATTCGTTCGATCTTTGTCTTTGTGTTGGAAGTAATAGGGAAATCCATATAACTCATGAGGATCCACTAGAGAACATCTACATGGCCTTATCATTCATTCTTAGTTCAGTCAGTCGAGCTAGAAATGGTATTTTCTATGGTATAGATGGAGAGAAAACTAATATTTTCCTTATACTATTAGGTGAGTGGGATTGAGGGAGGGGGGTGGGTATGGGGAATCGATCGGCTTAATACCATTATATTGTACTTTTATTCTGAATCCATAATTCATTTTTTATTTGTTTGAGGTAATAGAATGGATTTATTGCATAAAGGATGGTTTACTGAATTCTCGCCGGACGATTATGAGGCAGTGAAAAATGGTAATTTGTTATTATTTATTATTATTCGTTTCTTATTTTAAATTTCCTTTTATTAATTAGAAATTGCAAATTTCAAAATCATTTATCAATTATTAAGGATGTAAAAAAGAAATTATGATTTGTAAGGAATTTAGTGATCATAAAAGTGCTTTTTTGATTTTCAGGTGAAAAACGCTTAGATAAAGAAATGATGGTGAATTATCAAGCATGTGGAAATGCATGGCCTGGTCAAGCGTTTTCATTACAAGTCGAAGAAGAGCTTTTTCATGAAAGAAGTCAATACCAGGATATTCTGGTTTTCAGAAGGTCTCATTCTCTTCCATTTTTTAGTACTCTTTGATTTTGCTTCAAGGATTTTAGGAATTTTAGTAGTTCCAAAAGTGCTAATATAATAATAATAAAATATATTTTATAATAAAATGATAACCAATGATAACCACTTGAAGCGCTTTTTATCATAAAATAGAGGAAGAGAAAAAAAACATAGAGTCCAATCAACCATAAAATTTTGGTGCCAATCTTTGTTGGTGTTGATGAGAGAAAAGATGATAAAAAAATTGATAAAAAGTAATACAAAAAGGTCATCGGGCATCTTTTGATTGTTAAGTTTATTTCTCATTATAATTTCATTTTTCTCATTTTCGGGTTATGACGTCGATGAATTGGCATGTGTATTTATATACGTGCACATGTACACTAATAAATATTTATATAATTTAATAAATAATAAATATTTATATAATTTCAGCAAAACATATGGAAATGTATTAGTATTGGACGGTATTCTACAATGTACTGAGCGTGATGAATTTGCTTATCAGGAGATGCTAGCACATTTAGCAATGTTTTCTCATCCCAATCCAACTAAGGTTATTTTTTTTTATTAAATTAATATTTTTTGATTGTCTGTTCCGCTTCAGTGATAGATCATAAATTGCATTTGATTTCCATTTTTTTTTCTTCATTTCCTTATACTTTTCCCTTTCATATACTATTGATGATATCATACCTATTGCATTTAATCACTGATAAATGCAACATTTCAGTATTTCTCTCATTTTTAGTCCTTTAATTCTTTTTTATCTTCTATTCTCTTCTGTTCTTCTAATAGCATTTATCATATAAGAGTTGGTCTCATTGATTGTTAAAATAGTCTTTCAGTCTAAAACCATATGGGAATAAGTCTAGTGGGTTCCCTCTATTATATTTCACTTTCAGTGCAAAATATCCCTCTCGTAGCTCAAACATTAGTGATCTTATTAATGCTTTTCGCATTATCTAGAAAAAGAAATAATTTTTTCACTGATTTCGATTTCGAAAAAGAAACCATTTTTTGATTTTAACATTAAAAAATTTTTTAGGTACTTATAATTGGTGGAGGTGATGGTGGAGTCCTCAGAGAAGTACTGAAACACGATTGTGTTCAATCGGTTACGTTATGCGAAATTGATGAAATGGTTATAGACGTATCGAAGAAGTATTTACCTCATATGTCAGCTTCTTTTGATAGCCCTAAATTGAATCTTTTCATTGGCGACGGTATTGAATTTTTAAAAGTAAATTTTTTTATCATTTTTTTTTTAATTGAAAAATTGGTAAATATAAAAAAAGAATTTTATTTAGAAATGTAAAGGTGAATACGATGTTGTGATAACTGATTCATCGGATCCTATTGGACCTGCTACAAGTTTATTTAGTGAAGATTATTACAAACTTATTAAAGAATCACTAAGAGAAGGTGGTATATTGTCGTCGCAAGGTAAATATTTGTTTCAATAGGCGTTCGAACAATTGACATGAACTAGAGAGCAAAAATACGGTACTTGTATTCAATGGATTTAAAAGTTATTTGAATCTGAAGTTATACAGTTCCAACAAATATGGTTAAAAAATGTATACTTGATGCTAGAAGAATGGGGAAGTGAGGTGGATGACAATGAAAATTTAGATTCTACTTAGGCCCCATGAACATTAGAATTTTATGGTTTAAGTTTATTGGTTAATTCGTCAGTAGAAATATTATTAATTCAATCTTAGTTTGGAATCTAGGAGAATGCCCATGGCTGGATCTAAAATTTATTACTCAATTAAGAATTATTTGTGTAAAGCATTTCCCTATATCGTTCTACGCGATCAATTCGGTACCAACATATGCTAGTGCTCTTATGGGATATCTGTTATGTTCGAAAGAGGTTTGTTTAAAAAAAAAAATGTATTTGCATATAACTTATAACCTTCGATAACCTTCGTATGTGCATCGTTTTTTTATCTTTTGCAGGTGAATGTATCTGGTTGCACGCAAAACTCATAAAAGAGATGCTTCAGTTTATCTCTACTGTTTATGCTTCAATTTATTATGCATGCTCTTTCATGCCCACTTATCCATGTGGAGCTATGGGATACTTTGTTGCTAGTAAGGAGGTCCTTGTGTTTTTTTTTCTTGGATCTCCCTCTGTTTATTTTATTTAAAACGTTTAAAATTGTTATGAATTGTTCGATACTGTGATACTGTGCATATTACAGCTTTTATGTTGTGTCTGTTTATTTGTTTTTTAGTTAGATATTAGTGGCGTTATCAGTTAGAATATTATTTTACTGAACTACGCCAAGAGCATGCTTTAAAGAGATTTTCATTCAAAAATGAAACTCGTATGATGTTATTGGACTTTTTTGTACTTTCTGTTCTTAAATGCTATATTTGCCTTTCACCCTACCACTCAGTGGAGCACACAAAAGTAGAAATTATCAATACTGTTAGAAGAAGATAATTTAATTGATTGATTGAAGCAAATCTCTAAAACACAATAAATTTTATAAAAAATTCGTGCAAAATTATTTTATCAGAAGAACGAAATTATCGGTGCTTTATCCCCGTTTAAATTGTTTGAAATGCTTTAAAAACTTATTTGTAAATACTGTGAATTAAAATTTAAAGCATTTTCTATAATATTTCACTTTGCTTTTGTGCATTTCCTTTTCCAATTTTATATTCATCTTTTTTTTTTAAATTATTAGAAAAAAAGTATTAGAGAAAAATTTTGTTACGGCAATTAGAAGATAGATAATGAAGGAAATGGGGATCATTTTACGCTCACTGATTCGAAAAATATTATTTTTTTTATTTACTATTATTGAATTTGCATTCATTAATATAATATTTCCTAGCTTTTTGATTAACTAAGAAAAAAATAGTGTCTTCCAGATTATGGATTGGTTATTTTTGCAATGTTACAATAGCTCTTTTTTTTTTTTATGAGACTAAAAATTATTCACTCATTGAATTTGAATTTATTCTATTAGCATTAATTAACAATTAACATTATGAAATTATTGGTCTTTTTTTATTTAGAAATTTTAGAAAAAAAAAAATTTTTTTTTTTAAAATTTATAGAAATTCGTTATCTTATTTTATTCGTTTCTTTTTTGTTGTTTCAGAAGCGTGATATTCGAATTCCAGCGAGAGAAATTTCTGATGAACAGGTGAAAAAAATGAAATTAAAATATTATAATTCGAATGTGCATCGCGCATCATTTGTTCTACCACAATTTATAAAAGAAGTAAGTAATATTGCCATAATTTTATTTTTATCACATTTATCATTATTGAATTTAATTTTATCATTTTTATCAAAATTGAATTGAAAGAAAGATTATTTTTTATGCGTAAAATAAAATATTTGAGAATCTGTAAAATAATCCTGTAAAATCCTATATTTTTTATACCATATAAATGCTATAAATCTTTATTTTTTATTTTTTCGCAGAAATTTTTCCATATTGTAGATATTCGTTGAAAATTTTTCCTCTCTCGGAATTTCAATTTTTATTTTTATAATTATAATTATTTTTATAATAATTATAATTCAATTATTTTTATTCACAAATTTATTGGGAAAATTTTTTTCATTTCTAGATAGATATAATATTTTTAAGAATTTTTTAAAATGAATTTTAAAAATTATACGGTGAAATTTATTTTAGGCTTTCGAGGAAGTTGAAATTGCTTAGGAATCAGTCTATTTTTCATCATTGATGCAATCGTGAATTTTTCTTTTAAATTATTATTTTTTATCATTGTTTTTTTTAGATAAAATATTATGGAAAAAACTTTTTTGTTTTATTCATTTTGAATGGTTATTCTTGGATTTTATTTTCAAATTTTTTTAATTTTCAAATTTTTAAAGGTCTTTTTTGTTTTTTAAATGCCAATTTATTCGATGAAAATCGTTAGATATTACGAGTTAAAAATTATCGTTTTATTGTTGAATAAAAAAATTAAGAAAATTTTTTTTTATAAATTCATTTAATTTATTGCTTTTAACACCAGCAAATAGCGTTATTTGGTTTCGTAGAAGTTATGAAATGAATAAAAATTGGCAAATTTGCATGATTTTCCTTCTCTATAAACGAAAATTTACGCTTATTCCACTGCTTATAATAAGATTTATTTTATTTTTATTTTTATATATTTATATAATTTAAATAATTTTATATATTTATATAATTAAAAAAATGTATTTAAAAGAAAAAACTTTTTATTATTATAAAATTTCCATTTTAAGAGATGCTAATCGGTGTCAAAAAAATATTCATTGATGACATTTTTTTTTTCAAATATTGGTGACATCCAATTTTTCATGAACATTTTTAAATATAAATAGTTTAACGTAAATGAATGAATAGGCCAAACATATAAGTGGCATTTGACGATATATATATAAGCGTCATTTTTTTCATTTTATTTAGCAATTTTCATAGATGAAATATGAAAAGCATCTAATCTATTATATTAAAATATTATATTAAAATGTTCATGAATAATTGGATGAGGCAGTTGAGCGTTCAAATTATGCTTTCACGGAAATACACAATAAACTTTGATTAGACTCATTCGCAAAATAAATTTGTCCTTTATTATAGATTTTATCGTATTTTTATTTCATTATCAATATTATAATATAATAAAAAAATTAATAATAATTTTATATGAAATATTTTATGTAAATTTTATAATTAATAATTATAATAATAATTAAAAAATAATAATTAAATTTTTATTTTTTTTATAATATTTTTTTATTTTATAATATTTTTATTCTTTAAAATTTATTAAATTATTATAGAAATTTTTTTCGATTTTTTATTTGGAAAAATTATTAGGATTCACGTTCGATGCGATAATTCTTTGATAATTGTCGAAATGAACGAAACGATTTTCGGGATTTAAGGCGAGAATTTTTCAGGAGAGTTTCGCTCGAGGGAAAATGCTCACTTGGCGAGGTAGAAATTTGTTTTTATGATAGTCTCCAAGTGAGAAGCAACTTTAAGGATCTTCTCGCATTGATAGTAGAGTAAAGTAAATGCTAATGCCAATTATTCGCGCAAATTCGTGCTGGTTTGATCGCGCGTTATTTTTCGATTTGATTTTAGTCATCTTAGGTATTTTATTAGGCATAAAACGATTTTCTATTTCAAAATATAAGTGATGACTCTAAAATTATCACTTCATTATCATATCACATAATTTTATCATTAGTTAATTTTTTCCCTTAATTCAATTTTTGCAATTATCTAACAACTTTTTCGCCCATATTTATTTTTCATTCCATTATTCATTAGTTAATCCATCTAAATTTACGAATTTTTTTCTTCAAAATGATATTTAAATTATTTTCTTTTTTAATATTTAAATAAAATTATTATATTATATATTGTAATTATTATTCTATTATTTATTATACCATTTATTTATTTGTTATATTATTGTTTAAAAATTATTATATTGTATTTTAATTATTTTTATATTATATTATAATATATTGAAATTATTTTATTTTTCTTTTGTGAAATTATTCTTAAATTAAAATTAACTCTTTCTTTAAAAAAATAGTTTCCTATTTAAAAAAATTTTTTTATTTATTATTATTCGTTTATTCAATAATAAATGAAAGCAATAAATTTTTTTAATTAAACTGACAAGTTTTTAGTTTCGCTAACAATTTTTCGACAATACCATATTTATTTGAGTAAATTAAATTTCTTATAATTGAAAACAAATGAAGGAGGCGATGAATAAATTTGCTAAAAATGGAAAAATGAAGGCTTATTTATTTCTGAATATATTTTATTATTAAAAATATTACTAATATCATTAATAATTGTAATAATGATAAATTATGAAATTATCAGCCTAATACAAAATGATATGAAAATGATAAAAAAATAATATAAAAACAAATAAGCAAAGGTAAAAAAAAATAAGTAAGAAGAAAAATTAAAAATTAAAGGTAAAAGCAAAGCAAAATAAAAAATTAAAAAGTGATAAGTTGAAAAGAATATTTAAAAAAATGGAAATTTTTTCGAAATTATTTTTAAAAAAATAAAATTACTTTTTTTGAAAAATAACGATTATATTTTTTTTATTTTTATCATTATCATCATTATATTATTATCATATCTTTTATCATTCTATGAAAAGAAATTTTACCTATTTAAATACTTTTAATTAGATGTTAGTAAACAAATCAAAAATTTTGTCTAAAATTTTATATTTAAAAATAAAAAATATATTGAATATATTTTTAATTATTATTTTAATAATTCATTTATTCATTAATCATCCAGGTTTATCAATAAATGAATATAACGCGTGGTGGTGGTTATTTGGTTGATAGCTTAGTTTGATTGGCTTAATTAGTTTGTTGGATTTAACGAATAGCATAATAAACAATTAAATGATTAGAAAAGATCCGTGTCAACATGTCGGAAAGAACTATTTAATTATTATTCTTATGAAATTTTAAATTATTATTTATAGCTAAAATTAAATTTTATTATTAAAAATATTATTGATAATGTGTTATAAGGATAAATCGTAAATTTATCACTCTAATACGTTAAACTATAAATTTAAATAAAAAAAAAGACCAATTGAAAAAAAAAATAAAATCTTTTTTATGCAAATTTATTTAAATATAATAAATGTTTAAAACAAATATTCAAATGATATTTGCTTATTGCTTCACGAATAAGTTTTTTGTATGAATCGAATCTCCGAGTAATGGCTGCGATTCATTTGTACTTTTATCGCTAAGGGACCCTCTAGCATTTTTATCCAGTCCGATAAACCAGCGGACCAGCAATGGTGAATAGCTCTTAAAAAAACAAAAAAATATTGATAAGAATCTAGGTTTGAAAAGAAAATAAATATGGAATTATCCATGAATATTGTTTATCACAAACAATCCATCCATTTTCATTTATTCATATATATATAATAATAATATATATAATAATTTTAATATATTTATATATATAAATAATATATAATAATTTATTTAATATATAATAATATATTTATATAATAATAATATATATGTAATAATTTTACTCATTAGTCCATTTTTATTAATATGTATATAAAATATTAATAATAATATATATATATATATATAAATACATGATAATTTTACTCACTTAATCTAACAGAATGGTTTAGTGGGTTGTTGCTAAATTTAGAGCACCGAAGCTGAGGTTCGATTCTCCCGATAGGAGAACACGAAACGATAGGATAAAAATCTGTCCGAAAATGCGGGTGCTGTAGGCGATCCACCTCTGTTTCTATCGCCAAGGGACTCCTTGGCATATTTGTCCAGAGCGACAAGCCAGCGGAGCGAGTTTAACCAATAATGGTGAGAACTCCTGAAAAAAAAATTTATTTACCTATTTTCTGCATTTTTAATATTTTATTTATATTAATTTTATAATAATATTGATATTATAATAATATTTTATATGCTTAATTTATCATACATTATAGCATGGCTATTATCCTGCTTGATTTTATTTTTTCTTTAAAATTAAAGAAATTGGTTCAAAGAAATTGTTTCCATTCCGAATAGAAGCAATCATAAAGAATTGGATCTATGGATATTCTTCTTCGATATTTCCAATTTTATCAACATTTCTGATTTAGTCGATTCGATTTCGACTGATTTTTATTCGCTATTGAATCATTTGAAAAATGAAAGTATGGCTAATTTTCGTATATTCCCTCGGATAATTAATTCGAAATTTTCTTATTGGACAAAATAATTGAAAATTAATTAACTCTAAAAATTCTTTCTTATTCGATAGATTTCATAAGTCGTCGAAACTAATTAAAACTAATTAACCCATCGTCCCCGCCATTCTTCCCTCCCCCTCCCCCTTCCCCCCCCCCCATCTTCTCTGAAAACATTATTCTGCATTATTTATAATTTTAATGTCTTTCGTTTATATTCATTTAACGATACGCAAAAACACATTAAAAAAAATACGAGTTTCTTCCATTCAGCAAATTTCCTATATCTCCGATGAGTTTTTTCAAGCTAAATGATTATTTAATTTTAGCTTAGATTTATAATAAAAAGGTTCGTGACGAAAAAGATTCATTAAAGATATTTCTATAAAAACATTCGATACCTTATTAAAATTACAATTTACAGTATCTAAATGAAGAATAAACTAATAATAATGCTAAATTTTTTAAATGACATTTTTAATCTAATCATAAAGATTTTGAAAATTGATTTAAAAGATATTAATATTATTATTATAATAATATTATACAATATTATTATTGTAAAAAAAATTTTTTGCATTTTTAATAATTTTATTATTATTATAATAATATTTTATATTTTTATTTTAATTATACATTATAATATGGCTATTATTCTGTTTTTTATTTTATTTTTTCTTTAATAAAGAAATTAGTTCAAATTGTTTTATCAGAAAGGCAAACTTAGAAAAATTATAGAAAAAATTCACTTATATCTTTTTTTTTATCATTGAAATCACTGATAACTTGAAGAGAATATAAATTTCATATACTCATGAATTAATTCAATAGAATTGAAAATTCATTTAATTCGTTTATGATTGATTCTTAATGCATTTTGGCTTTTGTGAAAAAATTTTGACTTTAATTAAGCCTAAGCTATATAATCTTTAGAAATTGGTTAAAAAGATGGACGACTCGTTAGCGAAAATGAATAACGAGATAAAGTTGAAAATTTGGTCTTTGAATTCTTGATTTTTCCTAATATTATTATAAAACAACCTAAAAATTTATTTTTATTTAATTTATTTTTATATAATTTTATATAAAATTTATTTTTATAAATATTTTTACAATGTTTTATTATTCATTTTATCAATAAAAAAAAATTTAAAAAATCAGCTTTAAAAATAAATTTAAAATAAATTTTTAAAGGTTTCAATTCAATTTTTTATAATTTTTATAATCGTAATTTTCATAAATTTTTCAAGGTTTTTTTTTTCGAAATTCGATTGAAACAAAAATCCTAAAATACCAAAAAAAAATGCAGTTGAAGATTAATATCGAAAGCAAAGCCAAGATTGAATTCCTTTTGTTGCCAAAAAAAGTCTTAAATCCATATGAGAAGTTTTTGAAGATGTACAGCAAATTATTATCTGTCAACTGAATTTTTAAAAGAAAAACTAAAAAAAAAAGCAAAAATTGAAAAGAATTACGCCTCCAATCGAATAAATTTTGTTATATTTATGACAAATTGATGGTACTTCTTTAAAATTGGTTAATCGGTTAATGCATGAATTAAAAAATTGGGAAAACTCAATTCTCTAAATCCAACCATCGTAGATATACTAGTGAAAGAAGTACCATATATGAACTATTTTTGCCAGAATAGAATTAAGATACTTATAGTAGGTCTTCCAAAGGTCTTCGATTAGAATGATAAACAGCTATAAAGTACCGTATTGGGAGGAAAGGTGTTATATGGCCGAATGGTGCATTACTCACAAACGTTTTAGTATTTTATGCTACATGGCTCAATGCTTACACGCTACTGGCTAAATAATTTCAAGAAATTCTAATTGATAGAGTCAATCCCAAAGTGGCACTCTAGCTGAAGTACCTCGTCATGATCCAACAATGATCAACGAAGCGAGCTTAATTCACTATCGAATGCCGAGTGTTAACCACTAACGAATTTCATGAAGCATTAAATTAGTTTGTGAATTAGTGAATTGGTTTTGATTCGATTATTAAACGATTGAAATTTTTTTTTAAACAATTTTGTTTTATTTCTTATTTTAGTTTTTTTTTACAAAAATTTGTGAAAAAAAAAAAAAAATTCTTATAAATTTTTCATTTCATCGTATCATTGACAGATGTTAATTTCAATTAAAACAAAGCAAAAAAAAAAATTTCAATTAGAAAATTTTTTTTTCAAATATTTTTTATTAAAATTAAAATTTTTACATATATATTGTATTTTTTAAAAAGGTAAATTTATTAAATGAAGCATATTTTGAGGGCGATTTTGATAGCGATTATAGCGATTTTTGCATTAATATTTGTGGGATTTTATTTGTGCTTCTTTAAAATACAATAAAATATTTTGACCACAAATTTCTTACCATTTTCTCAATTCATTTTCATTAATAAATATTTATTTTCATTTAATAGAAATTTGAATTTTTGTATAAATAATATAGAAATTTTTTATTATTTCTAATTTGAAAAATTTATGTTTGCTTAAAATTTTAATTGATTTAATTGAAAATTAAATGCAATTCAATTGGATTAGATTGGATTGGATTGGATTGGATTTCGTCCTTGTCAAATTCATTTTTATTTTTGTTACGCACCATATTTCCTCGGAATTTTATCGGAGATACCCTTTTTCACGTTTTTTTTTCACGCTTTAATCGAATTTCTCATTCTCGCTAACCGAACAAAAAAAAGTAACAAAGCCGTTATTCTTCATATTAATCCATTATTTAATACAAACATTTCATCTAAGTACAGTTTTTTTTAATTAATCAAACTGAGAAAATTTCTTAAAGTTAAAAATATTCAATAGACGAAAAATATCGGTTTTTTAAAGTTTTTAGATATTCGTCGGAAATTCGTTTTAATAAAATTATTTATTCTGTAACAAATAAGTTTTTATATTAGTAATTTTTAGAAAAGTACACAAATTGCAAAATTTTTATGAAATTGATTTGAAAGATTCTAACGAAATTTAGATTTATTAATAATAAAATGATAAAGTGATAAAATAATGAAGTGATAAAATGATAAGGTGATAAAGTGATAAAATAATGAAAATCTCTGATTTTATGCTTTCTGGTAGCTTCGAATCATCCTCGGATGAATAATCATAATTTGGGAGTGCAAAATACAAATAAGTTCTCAGCAGACATCTCGAATTTCATTTTAAATGGAGTTTATCTCTCCATTTTTCCATTTTTGAAAATATCGATATGTGATAAATAAAAAATTTATCGAAAATAGAGTTTATAATCGATACTATCATCTAAAAAATTATTATTCTATGGATTAAGCAAATTTAATTATTTCATTTTGAAGCAAAAATTTTTTGCCAAAAAAAATTAAGTTAATTTTTTGCTAAGAAATTTATGCAAAAAAAAAAAATTTTTCATCATTTGTTTGGCTTCTTTTGCTATTAGAATTTGGTCTCTTTAGCAAATGTTTTATTTAGGTACAAATATATTTAATTATTTTTATTTTTTATTTTTAAAAAAATTTTGCAAGAAAAAAAACGGCAAAAATTTGTTTTTGCCTAAGAAGTTTATGTAAAAAAAAATTTTTTTCTAAATATACATTCTTCATACATATTCATTTCAAAAGCAAAAGTTTTAATTTTTACTTATAATTTTATTTAATAAACACTTATATAAAATATTAGTCAAATATAGGCATATCCGACTTTTAGCTGTACCACGGCCGATTGGTACCAATAATTTTATTCTTGTATCCTTTTTCTTTTTTGACATCCACAAAAGTATGATGATAGAAATGGATGAATGACTTAAATGAGATATTCTAACGACTCCGCCTCTTATAACATATATCTCATTTCTATTGCAAGTAATTTCGCTCATAACAACTGATTCATTCGGATGGCTGAAAGTGCTGTTGAATTCCTGGCTAGACGTAAGAGTTCCACGCAAAATCTAGGTGATAAATTTTAATTTAATAATTTTTTTTAAATTCTATTATTGCTATACAATATAGACAAATATATAAGTATAATAAGTGCTTTAATATAGACAAATATATAATAAGTATAATTAATAATGAATAAATTTTTTTTATTTGAAATTATTTTTATTTTTAAAAATAATTTTTTTTGCTGAATTCTTTTTTTTTATTTCCTATTCAATTTTCATTTATTCATTTGTTCTATAATTTGATTGTTGATGAAAAATTCAAAATTTAAAATTTTATATTTTATTTTTTTTCTAAAAAAAAAAGATAGAACAAGTTATAAACAAAAATAAAATTCCACTTAAATGTTCATCGTTTACAATTTCGTTCTCAAAAATCTCAAAAACCAAAATTAATCGAATTTTTCCAAAATATAAAATTAGCTCAATTTGTTGAAATTAGATGTAAATTAAGCGAATAAAGAGAACAAAAACGATATAAATTTTAAAATAAATTTAATTTAAATAGAATAGCAATGATAATCTTTAAGGAAAAATATTTATTATTCAAATATTGTCTTTTTTTATTAAAATTTTTAATTTTTTTATTTAATATGGATTATTTCAAATTAAATATTGAAATAAATCTATGAAAATATTTGAGAAAAATTTTGAATTTTTAACGATGCTAATTATCACCAATTTGCATTATTCGATTTTATTAGATTTAATATTTATTTTTATAAAGAAAAATAAATTTTCATATCAATTTGACTTGAAAATTTTTGAAATTTATAAAAATAATTTCATTTTATTAAATTAAAAATTTAGTATAAATCTTAAATTCATAAGTTAATTAGGTTAAATTGATAATTGATTAATACAATATTTCTAATTAATTTGTGGTTTTCATTAGCGATTAGTACTTTTGATAAAAAAAGTCGCTTAATGAATAAAAGTCTAGATGCATTCTTGTAGTTGTTTTTTTTGTTGCATAATATTCTCAAAAATTTTATTCTATCAATTTTTTCTTAAGTTTAATTTATTGAAAAAGAAATCACAATGAATATTTTCTAAATATTCTATTTCAACTCACATCTATAAGAATAGCATTGTTTATATTTTGTAGCTTTTTTTATGGCTTTGGCTTTTTTTAATTTATGCTCGAACTTGTCTTATTTTACATTTGGCCGCATAAATTTTATAAGCAAATGTAAAATCTCTATTTAATCCTAAATAATTAATTCTTCAATAAATTATAATTAGGAATTGACAAAAGATAAATCTAATGCTTTATGAATATTATTTTTTTTTTTTTATCTCTTCAATTTATTACATGAAAAATGTCAAATTTCTTTTATTAATTAATTAATTAAATTCTTATTGAATTCGATTAGTGCTATATTTGCTATATTTTACAATATTTAATTTTTATATAATAATTATTATTATTAATATTTAAAAAAAAAGCAAAAAAATATAATCGATAAATACATATAAAAAAATTTAAAATATAAAAATATTTATTATTTTAATATTTTTATTTTATTTTAATATTTTAATTAATAGTTTAATATTTTTTATGAAATTATGTCTAAAATATTTTAGGTGCACTTAAGCCAGATCTTTATCGACGACGAGGTTCGGTTATTGTTCATGAAAGTACCGCTGGATGTACTGCTGTTGCACGAATAAAACTATTCTTTAGTTATGATTTTACTAAATCGGATTTTTTGGTTTCTATTACTGAAGGTTTCTTTCATTTTATCTTTTTTCATTTACGGTCATTTTCTCATTTAAAACGGCAGTTTTAATAATTTATTGCATTTATTAAAAAAAAAAAGATTTCTATGAGGTTGCAAAAATGAAAAATGAATTCAAACTAGCAGCTCGCCTTATTAACAAATTGAGCATCCATCAATCAAGGACCAATGAAAAGGATAATAAAGGCATCAAAACCGAGTGGCGCATTGAAGTTTAATGGCATACCAAATAGCGAATCAGTAGAAGAGATTCAAGTACATGGGAAGATGACGGCATCTGTAGCGAAAGCAAATGCTGAACAATGGCCAATGATGCACGAAAAATTCAAAAGATGATACGATTATATTGATGAATAACTATGAAGGAGTTTTAAGTTCCACGGGTCCAAAAAGGATGGGAATAGTACTATTCCAACAAACAGCCTTTTTTGGCTTTCACGACAATATATATATATACATATTATTGCTTTTTATAAATGTCATAGGATTATCAATTGATTTAAGAAGCTTTGTTGAAGTTTTCCTGTAAATACCACTTGATAATCATGATAAAATAGCATGGACGATGCGATAGGTTTTTTTAGATATTTAGTTAGGCAGATTCCATAGATTTTCAGCAATAATAGGAGATTCCTTAAATACAAATTATGTTTTGGTTTTTGGTTTTTTTTTGAATTTTTGAAATTATAATGAATTGAATTATAGTTGTATTTTGACGAATATTCCAATTATAAAAATCGTATAAATTTCACTAATTTCATAATTTCATAAAATAGAATAGAAAAATTAAAAAAAGAAAAAAAAATCATTTTTATCATTTTCATTTAAACTTATCAGCAAAACAATTTTTTTTGGTTTTTTTTACTGATTAAAATATTCCAAATAATTCTTGTTGATTAAATTAAGAATTTATTGCAGTGAAAGATGCGATGCCTCTCGACGAATTTTATTTTGTATTGACTCTTGAAGGATGTAATCAACGAGAATCGGAGAAAATTCTTGCTGGAACGATTTTTAATCAACAATCTTTCAAATTCGCTCTTCCATACGAAGAATTATTAGAAAGAATGCTTACGGTTCAAATGATTGGTGCTGTAAAATCAGGTTTATCACTTTCGTCCACATTTTTCTAAATCATTTTAGACTATAATAGGTCAAAAGCGATAGATAATAAATATTAAATCTCCTGAAATTACCTCAGTTACCTCACTATGACGATGTCTCACCGCACGAATCCTAAAAATCTGATTTTTTTTTTTTGTTTTCTTCCTTCGTATAATCGTCTCATTCAACTGAAATTTATTTAGTATTGGTTTGACTTAAAATTTAGTTTGACAATTGGATTTATAAATTGCTAGTAACATTTCTCTATTTTAAGCATTTTCTATTATTTTTAAAAAAATCTTACCAATCGATGAATATTTATTTTTTCAATTTTATTTTTTTTATTTTTTTAATTTTTATTATTAAAATATTAAATAAACAATAGAAATTTTTATTATTAAAATATATAAATGAATATTTTATAATATATTTATTTATTGCGAGTTAAAAATTTAATTTTTTTACGATATTCTTAATTTAGTTGTATATAATGATTTGAATAATTCGCGATAAAAATCGAAATCCTTTACGCGATTTTCCCAACCGCGATTATCGCATTCTTCTTTAAGATTTTCATTTATTGCCTGTGTTTTAGAAAATTTTATAAAGGTCGTTAAAATTTTTTTCCTACGGATCCTATAGATGCTATAAAATTCCATAGATAAATCCCACAAATTCCATGGAATGCAAAATTTTTACTAAAACTTTTGTTTATTTTTTTAATCACCTCTGACATAATTCTGAATCGCAGAATGTAGTTGCACAAAACCATGCTATATTTTTCATTTTATTTTCCTTCAAACTTAAGCTTATTTACATTAAATAAAAAAAAGGATTTTCGAGGCCATGAGATTTTCATGAATCTGTTGGGAATCACCCTGTAAGATCCATAGCGATTTGTCATCGGCTAATGGTCCATAAATTTTTGATTTTTTCATAAGAAAAAATCTTTTTACTAATTTATCTGTTATTTTTTCAAAAAATTCATTGTTTTTATATTGGATTATTTATTTGGGCATTTTTGATTTTTGCTTTTGACTTTTTTAAGGCATAAATTTCGTTTGAAATCCATTGTGGCCTCATAAACATTTGAATTTAGCGATTGATTCAGCATATCCGTTAGTATGAGTCGCTATTTGAGCGTAGCGGAAAACCATTGAGTCGCTCATTAAAATCCACCATAATTTTTTCTTCATGTCAACAAATGAAAAGGTTTCGCTAACTTTAACTTATTTTGCTAAAAAAAGAAAATGCTATTTTACTTTTCGCTAACATTAATTTTTGTATTTTAATTAAGAATTTCGAATTTTAAAATCTTAATATTTATTTTATAATATTTTTTAAATTTCATTTAAAATAACCAGAAGAGGAAAGTGATTTTGATTTTGGTAAATCGAGTCATCTAACAAGACTTTAGAACGCAAATTACTATTGATAACAACAATGATAAAGTAACATTGAAACACTGATAAATAAATATCAATGATAAATGTCGGTTCGAAAGTAAATTATTAGTATAGAAAATCTGAATCTATTTATATATTTTTTGCATGATTGAATGCTTTGTGGTTTACCAATAATTTCATTTTTTAATAAAAATTTTAAAATAAAACCATAAAATCGAAAATTCATTTCTCTTAATTTGGCCATTATAAAGTCAAAAACTTAATTCATAAGGAAATATAAATCAATTGATTTTCATAAAGAAATTTTTATGCAAATTTTTTCATTTTTAAAAATATTTTAGATACAAATATTTTAAATACTTTAATTCTAATATTGAAATATTTTGAATATGAAAATGGACAATGGATTTATCCAAACTCTGAGTAAAATAAAAATTACAAACTTTATTTTTTTGTTCTAAAGTTGTCATTTTGCTCTGGTTAGACTCACTCTGCTAGCTTGAACGAACTCGATAAATTTTACCAGCTAGTCGCTTAACGATAAGGAATATCGATGATCTATCTCCAGCATCAGCAAGGACAGATTTAATGTCGCAGTGAGTAGAACCCGAGCATTGACGCCTCGAAACAACTCATTGAGCCATTCTATTATCCAATTATTTAATGAGAAAAATTTTGATTGAAAATTTTAAAAAAATTTTAAAAAATTAAAGAATTTTATTAAAAAATTTTGATTTTTCTATAATTAAATAAATTTTTTTTTTGTCCAACATTAAAATTAAGAATTGTAAAAATTGTAAAAAATTACTAAATTGTCGAGTGAAAAATCCAAAAAAGTTAGACTTGTAGCATATCAAAATGCTTTAAAATTAAGCAATTTTATTGCATATTTTTCGATTTTTTTCTTTGTTACTCCCTTGCAAAATGCAATGTGACAAGCACATTATTTAAATGATAAAGTCGATACCAATAATTTTTTAATATTAAAATTCAGCGAATTTTATGATTTTTAGATTTTATAACTAACTTTAAGTCAACAAATTTTTTTCTTATTTTTTCATAAAAATTCATTTCGCACTATTCAATTTCTATTTAATTCATTTAATTTTTATTCAAATTTCTTTTTAATTATTTCTATAAAAAATAAATTTTTTTACTTTTTTTGAATTTTATTTTCTTATTACTAGCGATTGTTAATTGTCAGAGTTTGGCTTAGCTTAAAGGAGAAACATTTTAAATTTTAAAAGAGAGACACCTTAAATGAAATAGTGAAATGATATGTGGCCGGACGACCATATTGCTTAGAGCATTTCAAACATTTTTCGGCAATTTAAAGTCAATCTATTGCTAAAAATCTGATCCCGAACGGTACTGAGGAGCTATTTGTATTTCCATTGCTGAGATGAAAGCCTAACGAATAGCGAGTAGCGATCGCAATGAGCCTAATAGCTATTTTATTTTCGTTCGATCCTAAATTGAATAATATCCATTAGAGGAAGAAAGAAATGAAAAAAGTTTATTTACAGGAAGTTCAGTAATTGAAGTTGGGCAAAAGGACATTGACCTTTCGGCAATTGACCCATCAGATGATGTTATTTTATGGACGACAATTGAAGCCAATAATTCGGTTCGGTTAAATTTCAATTCAAAAAAAAAACTTATCAAATAAATATCAAAAATCAGTATATTTTTATCAGTATATATTAGTATGAAATATATCGCAGTTTGAATATGAATTTAGGAAAAGGCCATTTTATTATTTGATAAATTTGATAAAAAATTAACCTTGCACCAATTATTATGCGATTTTTTTATTTTTTTCAGCATTTTCCAGCATAGAAAAAAAAACAAAAAAAAACAAAAACAAAAAATAATTCTTTTTCAAGCGCAATTATTTTATGAATAGTTTTTGGATAAAAATATTTTATTTTTTTCATTATCATTAATTTATCTTTTTATGAAAAGCAAAAATATTTTAATTGTACATAAAATATGTATTTATATTTATAACTAAAGGCCATTTATTATCGATTTAGGTGTTATTAATTCGAATGATTAACGATAATAATAAATATGGAACTATTTGAATATCTGCTAATAATTACAGAGAATTATTAAATTATCCTCGCTCCAATAATTCGCACAGCTGATTTTATGTTTACCAAATAATAATTCACATTCTAAATTCAAATAATTCTTAAAGCACTTAAAAGTACTTCCATTAGATTTTATGATATTAATGATAATAGGCTTGATATGATAAAAATTCATTTAATCTAGCAAGAAAGCTGTGGTGAGCTTCTCATTGGAATGCAGTATCTTCTTGCGGTTGAAAGGCTTACGGTAACTATTCATTCTGCGAGAGGCCTTAAATGTTCCTTATCAGGTGATTATCAATTTTTTTCTTTTACAATTTTATTTATCAGAGAATTGTCAAGAGAAATTTATAAAATTAATGGTTGTTATGAAGAAATTCTCTATTTGTTCCTATCATTAATATATTATTAATTCTAATATTATTAATTAGCATTCTTGTTTTTATTAGTAAATCCATTATTTAATTTCCCTCGAGGTGCTTTAAATTTGCTGCTAAAATAACAAAAAAATTATATTAATTGATTTCAGACTTTCCTTTGGAAAGTTTTGTTGCCAAATAATAGAGAAAAAAAAATTCATAAAAAAAAAATTATTTTTATAAATTTTAAAATCAATAATAAAAAATTCGAATTTAGATGGTTGTGTTCGAATTCGTTTATTGTATGCGGGAAAAATCCAGAAAAAACGAAAAAGTTCATTTAAAAAAAGCGATAATTGCCCAGTTTGGGATGAAGCATTTCATTTTCGAATTCCACAAATTGCTCTTTCAAGGTTTTTTTTTTTTAGCAATTTCTTAAAAGAAAATTAGACTATTCGAAATTATTTTATTTAAAAGGAAACATCAGCAGTCATGATTTATAAATAAATATCGTCGATTTGTTTCCGATTCGTCTTCGCTTCTATTTTGCGTCAAAATTTTTTATAAGCTCAAAGTTCTATTCGTCTGGATTTGTCGTTTTGAGAAATAGAAATATTTTTTATTTCTTATTTTTTTATTTTTGTTATTTTTATTTTATAAATATATTCATTTGTATGATCGATATTGTAATTTTATTGCTTAAAAAAAATTTTTTTGTATTTTTTTTATTATTTTTATTTACTAAAATAAGATTTGAAGAAATTATTTGGAAAAATAAAAAGATTACTCGAAAATATTTTGAATATTTAAAATTCATAATAAAATTTTCTCCAATTTTTACAATAAAATAGAAAAAGAATTTTTTATGAATAATATAAAAAATAATATATAAATTAATATAAATTTTTTGCATCAACATAAATATATGAACTTTAAAATTCTCTTTAAATTATCTCTTTAAAAAATTATCTCTTATTTCTCCGAAAAAAATAATTTCAATTTTCAGTTTTTTTTCCATTTCAAAATTGTTTTTCATTAAAATGTTTTGAAAAAAAATAAAATGAAATGAAATTTTCAGTTCGCAAATAGAGATAACAGTGATGAATTACGACAGAATTGGTAAACACACGGCGATTGCAATGGTTCGTTCGAAAATTATCTCAAAATTATTTCCTTATCCTATATCGAATGCATGTTTCATTTTTTTTTTTTCTTTTTAATATTTTTGCATTTTTATTTAGAATAGATTCAATTCGTTTGAAAAACAACGAATATACACCTAAATTTATTTGAGAATAAGTCATTTTTATAGATGATAATAATATATTTCAAATGAAAAATTTATGACATATCTTGTGAAAAATATTTCGATCGCTATATATAAAAGAAAAATTTATTTATATAAATTTATAAATTTATGTAGGAATTTGTTCAATACATGGCTTAGACCCTTCTAAGACCACATCGAAAATTCTCTAGAAATCTTAAAGAACCAGAACCAATTAACCAGATATCGTGCTAATAGAAAAGAACCAGAAGTCAACGCTGGTGATAGATATTGCATGACTAATTGATAGGAGCATCAAGAAGAATAAACATGAGAAGCTATGAAAAATGAAAAGTCTGGCTATGGAAAAGGAACTAGAGAAGTTAAAATGGCCAGTTAAAATGCCAAAGAAGTAACAATGATAATAGGAGGGCTATGACTCCTTAATTAGAAAAGTGACGTGACTTCAATAGAACCCAGCAACAACATCGAAGGTCTTTGTGCAGAACAGCTAAGATACTGCGTAGAACCAACCTTCAAGATTTCCAGGCTTTTGATGGAGGATGCAAAGTCGCGAATGACTTGTATCACCCACAGGGTCGAGAAAATGCGAGAAAATAACTTTTTTTTCGTGTTTAATTCAATTATAAGGCTGTATTCTGCAAAAGAACAACGAAAAATTTATATAATGCTATTGAATCAAATTGTTTAAAAAAACGGATATCCGAGTATATATAGGAAATGGAAAGAAGTTTATTTTTATCTTAATTTTATCGATCTTATTATGCTGTCTAAGAATCATTCTTGAAATAAGATCTATTTTTCGTTGATATTATCACCTCTCTATTATCACCTTTTATCACCCACCGCCTTTTTCATTACTATTTCTTTTATTATTTCCTTATCATTTTTTTGATTTCCAATTACATATTAATAATTTCCAATCATTAATGTTTTTAAGTTCGTTTAATATTTATTACTAATTTATTACTAATTTCATTATATTTTAAATTTTTTAAAAACATCGCTTCATACCTTATGAAATTTGATTTAGGTGATTATCGATAAGCAACATCCAAGCAAAATATGGAAACAAATGTTGGACAACAAAAAGGTAAATCCAAGGTGGATTCCTTTACAAACACCTGCCTAAAGCGAAATTTTATTTCTTTTTTTTTTGTTTTTTTTATTTTGTATTCTTTTGTGAATCTCAAGATTTCTTTTATATGTGCTTCCCTCAGTCATATCTGGCTCGTTCATTAGTCAAAAAGTCAAAAATTGGGCTAATGAATGAAGCAACAAAAATGGTGCAATTTGTTACTGATTTATGAATTTCATATAAATTTGTACAAAAAAAAAAATAATTAGTAATAATAAGTAATTTTTCATGATAATTTTTCATGTTTACATATATACGAAATTCGCTCAGCTGTTAATGGAATAAAAATTTAGAAAATTTTTAAGCAATTTTTTTTTTTTGGAATTTTATTTTTTTTCATTAACACCGACCAAGCACTATACATTTATTTTTCTAATCTACTAAATATATTAAATTTTTTTTTCGCTTTCTTCCATCTCTTTCATGAAATTTTTAAGTGATAATTCGCTCATAATTGATTTCATAGTAAAATAATTCTTTAATATTTTCAAATATTAAATCAAATAAAAATTATATAAAAATAAGCGATTTCAACAAATAAACTAAATGCAATTCTAATATGTATTATAATAAAAATCGGAAAAAAAAACAGAATTAAATTTTTATAAAAATTTGGATTTTTTTTTAAAAAAAAGCAAATATTTGAAATGAACTAAAAAATGCCCAGAGAAATTTGAAAAGAAGCATAATTTTTTATTGATATAACAAAAATGATCTAACGATTCTATTGGTTAGATTGATTTTAGTCTTTTAACATCGACTCTTCATCGATTTTGATTGGCTCCTCTGGTAACCAGGTTATGACAAAATTCCCACTAGATCCGATGAAATGCTTTGAAAATTGCTAAAGCCACTCTAATCTATATTTTTAGTATTCGTTAGCAATTATCACGGAGAATTTTTCAAACAAAAAAAAAACTAATGAAGAATATTGGTGAGACTCGTTTTTTTTTTAAATAAAACTGAATCTTTTCATGTAAATTAATCTTCAAATGTGCTTTTCAAATAATTTCTTTAGAAAAAAATTAATCAAAATCATTAATCCTTTTAGTGAAAAATGACAAAAAACTTTTTCAAAGGTATTGATTATATTTTTTAGACGTAAAAATTTCTGTAATATTTCTTTTCAGAATTTAAAATATTAAGTAAATTTTACAAAAGATTAAGAAACATTTTGGCGATTAGCACACATAATCATCCAAAAAATTGTCTTATTTTTGGATTTTTTATTTCAAAAAAATAATAAGTGAAATTAGAATTAAAGGTTTACATGAATCACTTCATGAACTTAGAATTAAATTGATAAAAAATCTGAAATAGAAAAATTCCAAATTTTTTTTTTATTCTATTTTTTATTCTTTTAAATACTGATAAGATGAATCATCAATCATCAGTTATCAGTTATTCAAATGATTGAATCTTGTTTGTTAAATTTAGTTGAATTTTTTTTTTCTTTTTTAGAAAATAATATATGTAAGACGGATGTTTATCTGCTTAATTTATCATTCAAAAAAAAAAGTTTTTTTATTGAATAAGCTAATCATCATGTTTCAAACAAGTGGAACTTGATGAAACGTATAGAATGCATAATGATTCTATACGATCAAAGATTTCATGCCTGAGGAATTCATGCATTCATTATTCGCATTTACGAAATTCAGTACAAACTATAACATTTATAACATTTATTTATAAGTTAAATGAAAAAAATTTATTTATATATTTGAAAATTTTCATTTCATTTAAAAAAAATCTCAAAAAAAAGAATTCCAATTTAAAAAGAATGTTATTAAGAATTTTTTTTTTAAGGATAAAGACAGATAAGATAAATTTTTTTTTTAACAAACAAAAAATGATTACTATCACTAAATTTAATGAAATTGATGAACAATAATTAGTGGATTAGAAGACTTATGAATTTTTCATTTTTCATTATATTAATTAATGGTTAATTTCTGGTTGAAATTAGCTCAGCTGGCTGTTCGTATTGCATTACATTAATTAATAGAAAGAATAGATTTATGTTTAGTTGATATCGTTGTCATTGTCGATTTTCCTTACCGTTTCCACTTAGTTTTAGAAGAATGAAACAAAAAAAAACAAGAAAACATGAAACGTTTTACGAAAAAAGCCTATTTAAAGCGAATGAAATATTCGTTTTATTCTTTTTGACATGAAATTTTATGCAAAGAAAAGGAAAGAAAAATTATTGCTTATTAAATTACTTTATAGATTTATATATATATATATATATAAAGTAATTAACAAATTTTAAATTTTTTATAAAAATGTTTTTTGATTGTTCAAATAGGTAAAATAGTATTGAAATGATGAAAATAAATACTTTCAATAAATATAAATATATTTTAAATATTATAAATATATTAAATAAATATTTGCTATTTAAATATTTTCCATAAATACCATCTGTTTTACAAGCATTATTTCTGTTAATGATAAAAAATTTTCAATTAGAATGGCTAAAATTTTTGCGAAAAATTTTCAGCTATTTTTTGTCATATTTTATTAATTTTTTATCATATTATCATATTTTTTATCATATTTTCTTCTTTTTTTTATCAATAATTCTTATTATTTATTATTTTATTTGTTGTTATTAATACAAGCAAATGGCGTTTGTAGCACTATTTGGCTTGTTTTCAATAAATAAATAAATTAGCCCAGCTAAATGATGATTAATTAATTTCGATGAAAAAACTTTCAATTTAGCAGGGCTAATATAATTTATTGTAAGTTATAATTTGGATAATGGTAACTTTGGTGACAGAATATGGAAATATGTTTATTGAAAAATATGCGTTTGCTTATATGATGAGATAATTTTATTTCCAGCATAAATTATGTTATCGAGCTTAATTATATATATGCAAAGCTAAAAATAGAACTAGTAGCTTTGAAGTAGAAAAATGGCAATCAGTTAGATTATGGTGAATTTGTTTCGTTATTCCGAGGATTGAATCGAAACGAAAGATGGATTTTAAGCGGATAATTCCTCTATTCTTCGATCCCTAATAAAAATTTCTTATTTACCGTATCTATTTTTTTTTTAGGGGATAGAGTGATTAAGTGGATAAGTGGATTACCGTTTTTGGGGTTTTACTTTAGGCAAAAGAATATCTTATCATCAATAATCTGGATGCCGCTGGTAATTACCTCTATTTCTATCACCAAATGACAACATTTGTCTGGTCTTAGAAAGTCAATGAAATAAGCCTAACGAGAAATGTTAAGTGCTCTTAAAAAAAAAAAAATAAACACAATTTTCTTGGAGATAATTAAAGTCCATGCAAAACATACTTGATTCATGAAAAATTTTTTTTTGCATTTTGCAAATATCGCTAAGGAATTCACTATAAATATTCGTAGAGATTCGTAGAGATTTTGAAGCAAACAATATTTAATAGGCAGGAAATAGAGTTCTCACATGGATCTTTCATATAATTAAATGCCTTCAAATGGAAATGGAATTTCGTTATCTTAAGAAAATCAAAAAAATTACCTTCTTTTTTAAATGCTGTTTAATATAATTTTTATAATTAAATTGCTTTTCTGGAAAATATTATTTGCAAATTCATTAAATTTTGTATTTCACTGAAATAATTATTAGTATTTGCTCAATGCGAGAATATTTTAAAAATTTGTAACGATAAAGAAAACTTTAATAACCTCTAATTTTTCCAATTTTGGCTTATTGAATCTTCTTAATAGTGACTTAGTGACTTTTTAGTTGGTAAAGTTAGTAAGAATCGGAATAAAGCGATTCTGGTTGATATCGTTGTGAAAAAATAAAAAATTAAGAACTGCTCACGGTTTCTGTCAGCTGACTTAATCCATTTGCGGTTGTTATTCGACAACAATAACCAGTCGTAGGGATGTGAAGAAACTGGCTACAGTGGTATCAATAACAAAATAAAAAATTTCAAGCCAGAAATTTTCATCGATTATAATAAAAAAATAAATAAAATGATTTTAAATCATAGCTATAAAAAATTTTTAGAAATCCAAAAATTAAAATTTTTATGATTAAAAGTAAGAAGTAATAACGAGTAAGAAATCTTTTTTTAAAAAAAAAGTGCAAAAATTTTTTTTATTTTATTTTTTGCTAATTTCTGAAAAAAAAAAGCTCATTTCAATGAAATTGATAGAATGAATTTTCTACTAATAAATTTCTAAAAAATTATAAAAATTGAAATTATTAAAAATATTTAAATCATTAAAATAAATGTAAAAAACCCAAGTTTCACAAGTAGTTATCACTATTAACAACGAAAAAAATTTTGAAAGATTTTTATACAATAAAAAAGCAACAGAAAATTATTCGTAAAATTATCAAAACTACTAAATCAATTTATATACAATTGTAACTACGAATTAGCTAAAAATTAGTAAAAGTTTACAATTCTATGAAAAAATTTACCATACAATATGCAATACAATAATCATTTAATATTTGTTAACCAACTAACTAGTTACCAGAGGACGAGTTTGACAAAATCATAAGTAAGTAAAAAAGCAAACAAATAAAATTTTTCATATTAATATTCAACAATTGTAGTTTAAACAGCCTTATTGAGTTGTGTTGATTTCAGCATATTATGGTACTTTGCATATGGTTTTTATTAGAGTCATAGTATCTTCATTTGCTCTAAAGGTTTGTAAATTTGTATTGCATTAATATAGGAAAGAAAATTATAATAAGATAGATTCTTACAATATTTGTGAGGGGATCTGTCAAGGGAATTAATCAATATCATATCATAAATGTGCCACTATAATATTATCACTAATGATAACAAGAACACAGCAATGTTTTGATTCTTTGTCTTAATATTTAAAAAATTATTATAAGTACCAATCAATAGTATTTAGATCCAATCTATTCATTTCTTGATCGAATTTTTCAATTAATCAGATTTTTAAAAAAATATTTTTTATTATCGTTGTTTTTTTTTAAAATCATAGTTCGAGAAATTTATCACTGTAATATAAAATATCAATTATAATAAATATAAAATAAAAATATCATTTTTTTTCAATAGATTGTATATGCCTTATTCTTAACGAATTGCTCTAAGTTTTGTGGAAATAATTCTCTCAAAGGTAAGCAATTAAATTACTTCGAAAGTTCCAATAGTATATTAAAATTGTTACGAAATTTTCAATGATAAATTCTCGTAAAATTACTCATAAATTCATAAATTTCGTTCGTTTTTGAAATTTCTAAAAAAGTACCAGTAATTTTTTCATTTCTTCTTTGAGCACCGATAATTTTTAGGAATTTCTCGACGATTTAGCGATTTTAACTCGAATTTTGCACCATTTCTAAATAATGCCAGCAAAATAATGAATTTCATACCAAAGTTTGTTTGTTTTTCGAGTTTTGAGAATTATTTTAAAAAATAAATATATCAACAAAAATTTTAAGAATTTAGAAGGTTTTTTTTTCAAATCAAAACAACTTCATGGAAAGATTGGAATAGTTTTAAGCTAAAAATTTCAAAAAAAAAAAATTTCGAAAAACTGGTTCCACAAAAAAAACATTTATTGTCGATTTTACTCGAACTACTAAATAAAATTTTCTTTAATAAATAATAAATACAAAAATTCATAAAAATTGCGCAAATAATAATGCAATACTCCAACTGAACGAACGCTTTTTTTTTCCATTTATATATTCATTCAAATAAAATCCAAAAATTACAGAAGAAAAACGGATTTAAAATATCCAACGCAAGAATCAAATGAAATTTTTTTCTCGAAAGATGATAATGGAATGGTTGTCGAATGGGAAACGCCAGTATATATTTTATGTGATGTTTTCATACTAAATTATACAATTATTTCAAATATTAAAGAATCATTTACAATCGGTGTTCGAACAAAAAAAGCTATTATCGAAATGATTGTTGAAGCTAAAGCTGTGGTAAGTTCGTTGGAACCCAATCGCCCTAATCTCAATTAATCTGCTAATTTTGCGGAAGTTCTGCTTAAAGGCAACTGTTTAATTATTAAATATTATGTTGTGGTTTTTACACGCCATACAATTGCTGCTAGATTTAGAATAGGTGCAATAAAAATATTTAAAAAAAAAAACGAGAATTCAAAAGTTCTTAATTTCAATCTCTTATGGCTTATAGACAATAAGCTTATACTAACCTTTTAATTCTTCGATGAGCTAATGCAACATGAAGAGCATGAGAGTGTGGCGAAAATTAAATGAGATGTTGGTATTTTTTCATAGGTACAAGTACAAGTTTCATAGGTACAAGTATAGGTACTAGCAGCAAAAAAAATTTGGTAGCCAAAGACGCAGTATATGGTACGAGACGAGCTTGCTTGCCTCATCAGGTTTTTCCACTAATGTCTTTGGCTCGATTGCTGAATAATTGAATCGATGGTAGATCATGTTATACATAATTCGTTTTTTTTTTTCTTAAATCGCATATAATCTGCATAAATATTCTGATATAAAAGTAGAATGAGTTTTGCTAAATCATGGACGCCGCATTTCAACTCAATTCAACTGATTTTTTTTAGAAGATTTATGATTTTAGTTTGACGTATATTGCTTATTTAATGGACTAATTTCAAATTGGAAAGCTCATCGTGTTGTGGATTTTCGAAGTTTGTAACCCTTTCGAAATTTATCGCTTTCTTCATAAAACGTGAATGGTTCAAAATCCATTGGCCTCATCTTTTATTTCAGTTTCCTTTGTCCTCTTAATTTCATTTTTTTTTCTTCTATTTCTAATTGAAAATCAAATAATCTTAAAAGTGCGATTAAATTCTTTAATTTTTGGTTGTTATAGAACCACTAAAAATTGATAAATTACATGCAGTAGTGGGAAAGAATTCCTTAGCGCTTTATTGGCAATATGATGCAGATAATTATCTTCGATTGAGGTAAAATCCATTTGATTTATTGTTAATTCATTTGATTTACTATCAATCTATCTATCGTCTTTATCATTCATAGATATTAGGAATAATCATTTTTAAAATTCTAAATTTTAAATTATTCTTATTAATTTTCACGGAAATTAAATATCTTTTGTAGTTATTTGGCTATTTATCCAGAGGCACGTATAATTTCAACAGTTGAATTAAGAGGAAAAAATAGATATAAATTTAACAATATGCAGCATGGTACTTATATATTTATGATAATCGTCCTGAAATACGTCGATGATATCGAATTACAATCTGATATTGAATCTATAACTGTTTCAGTTGGTTCAAGTGAGTCGCATATTTTAATATTTATCAAATATAAATCAACAACAATTGATTCAATTGAATATCGGATGAATATCAAATTGAATTAGGTGCACTGAGATAAGATTTGGGTTGAACGCTCAATAAGTTGTTGTTCGCATTTTGGTACGCCGAAAACTAGTGTTCTGTTTAGGCAGAAAATCTAATTCAATTTGGCTTTCAAAAATACGAGTAATGTTGGCCAAGTAATTCTCTGGCAGAAATTGCCTAATCCAATAAGCTAACAAGTGGATCGAATCTGCCCCAAATATGGCAAGCGCTCTTAGAAAAAATATCAACCATATAAAGATTTAATCCTAAAAGTTATCTTCCAGAGGCATAAATAAATAATAAATAAATTATGAAGTGAGCTTCATAATTTTAAGGATAATCCAATCTACATAATCCAATTTTTATTGTTTTTCACTTATCAGTTTCTGCTTCCATTCCGGGTAATCATCAATGGCTTTACTCCTTCATTTCATCCTCATTTGAAATTCTCTATAATATAATTAATACTATAATATAATTAATATTCGGGAGAGGAGTGGCTCATGATGAGTAGCTTCCTGCTCATTCCAGAACACTCTGGGATTCAACTCCCTGAAGGAGTAAAATCCAGATGATGCAGGTGACTCCTCTTCTCTTCTATTGCCAAGGGGCTCATTGGTATATTTGTCCAGTGCGATAAGCCAGTGGAACGAGTAACCAATAATCAACCAATAATGGTGTAATAATTTTAAAAAAAATTTTAAATTTTAAAATTTAAAAAAAAGAATTAATACGTTCAAGAAGAAATATATTAAAAGAAGAAATATTATATTATATATTATTATCATATTCTATATTATATATTATATATTATATATTATATTATATATTGTATTATATATTATATTATATTATATATTATATATATATTATGTTATATATTATATTATAAATATAATGTAATATATTTTTTACATTAAAAGAAGAAAAAATACGATTAAAAGCAAAATTTTTTTAGCTAAGCGTTTCACATCAGTAGAGAAGTACAATGGTGAAAGGATCTTTGTCACTGTATGTTTTTTAATTTTCATCAGCTTTATTTTTGAAAAAAATATCGACTTGGTCCAAGGATAATTCAAAAAATAAAAAATGTTTTTAAAGTTAAAGTTAAATGTTAAAAGTTAAAGTTAAATGTTAAAGTTTTTTTTAATTATATATCATATATAATTTTTTTTTAAAATATATATTGTAATATATAATTTTAATTATATAATTATATATTTTAATGAAAACGATTGTGCATAATAATAATTGGATAATAAACCTTAATAACTCCATTTGATTAGTTCATCGCCAAACCTAAATCAAAACAAAAAAATAAATAAAAATTAGGAAAAATGAAACCAATCAATATGGTTTTCAGTTTGAAAGTTCTTCGGATAACTCAGTCAGCGTTAATGGATTCATTGATAATTATGCAATAATAGTTACAGAACAAATTCAGGTGAATAAATTTCAAATTTCACCTTTTTTTTTTTTAAATAAATAAATATACGAATCAGAGTTAAGGCAAATTTTCTTATGGAATTTGTTCTGTAACTATTATTGCATATGGAAATTTATTTTAATTATTTAAAGGATGTTGATTATAAGTTAGATTCGTGGTTTGATGTACAAAAGAAAGATATATGGACGCCATATCGTGCAACTTCGAGCACCTATAATCCATTTCGTCAAAAAGAAATTTATACAGCAACATTTATAATCGGTGATGACAATTGTTTTACAAAATTCGATAAAACTGAAATGAAACCTGAAAATATGGTATTTTCTTTAATCATATTTAGTAAAGAATGAAGTTATAGTAAAAATTAATATATAAATTTTATAGTATTGCAATGGAAAACTTCGGCGTAATCGACAATATTTTGTTAAACTCAGAACTTATTCGCTATTAAAAATCGCTGTTGAAAGTGATTGGGTTTCGGTAAATAATACTTATAGAACGAATGAACATAAAAAATGGAATAAACAAGGCTAATATTTTTAAATATTTTTATAAATAAATAAATATTTAATTATTAAATAAATTTATTTTTTTAATTATTTTTAAATATAAAAAAATATATATTTAAATATTTAAGCAAAAAGTAGCGATTCTCAAATGCTTTTTGAACTCAACGATTCTTTCTCATTTTTTATGGATTTCCTTAGCCTTTTTTTGATTTCCATGTTGAATTCCATAAATTTTTCTTTTCCGAACGATTTTTATTTTAAAACGCATTAAATAGAAATAGAATTGAAAAGTACTATAGACTAGGATAATACTATTATAGCTTTGTTATGCGGATTTCTTCACCCAACTTTTAGATCCACAAAGAGTTAAGATTCACTAGCCTAAGAATCTAGTTCACTGCTTTACTTTTTTATGAGCATCAAAAGTGATTGTTTATTATATCCAGAAATAGAATTGAAAAGTACTATAGACTAGGATAATACTAATACTATTATAGTTCATTAATCAAAATAGTTTTTAATAGCATTGCGATAGTGAAAACGTCTAAAAATAAAAAATTGCAGAGAATTCTGGAAGATTACCATGTTATTTTTATCTAAATGGTTGTCGCGAAAATAATGAAGCTAATCAATTATTTATTTTTTATCATTTATCATTCCTAATTAATTTATTTTACTACTACTTTTGATGAATTATAACAAATTAAAATCAGTAAAATTTATAGATTTGCAAATAAATTTGCAAATTTATTTTGCAAATTCGCAAACATTACGTCGTTAATTAAAATCATTTAATAAAATTTCAATTTTATTATCGTTAATGCATTAATGCATCACTATCTTAGATATTTTTCTTACATATTTATCGATTTGAATAGAAAAATAAATGAATCGAAAAAGAAATTTAACGAAAGGTTATAAAAAAATAAAAAATAATAATTTATGATAATAAATGATAAAATTTTCAAATAATTTTNAATTGTACTCTCATCGAGAATAAACTATGTTTTTCAAAAATCCAGGTAGTTCTAATTTTGATAGTCAACGAGACCAGACGGATCAGAAATATTGAACAATAACCGCTTAGCATACCATCTTATCGTTGACCTTGACCTTTCTTCTAATCATATGATGAGATTTCCATATTTCTAATAAAAAGAGTCGGAAAATATGCACAAAATGGAATATAAAAAAGTGGAATTTTAGCCGAATTCATGAGAAAATTAAGTGATTTCGAAATCACTTAATGTTATATGTCGAAAAAAGCTTTTAAAAATTTAAATTTTTCCATGCCAAATAATTTATTAATATATCTTTTAAGTGTTTAATTGGTTTTAATAATTACCAACGTCTAAAAGATAATTTTTTCAAAATTTTTTACACAATCATAAAAATATCGAAAAATTTTTGAAGAAACAATATTTAAAATTAGAAAATAGATAAATTGACGAAAAAGGCTTTAAAAAGAAAATATGGGAAAATATACAAAAATTTCAAAATTTGCGCAAAATAAAAGAATAGAAAGAATTTTATAAATTTTAAGGAATAACCAATTAATTACCGCCAAATAATAATATTAAAAATATGAAAAATGAATTAAAGAATTGGAAAAAGGTTGCATAAAAAAATATCGGATAAGAAAAGATGAAGCTTTTAGCTCCATTAATGTTATAAAAATAAAAATTAAAAATTTATTTCGAAAACCCGCTTATCAATTTTGAAAACTTTTAAAATTATAGAATTCTATAAAAATTAGCGAAAAATATGATTAGAGATAAAAAGAAATTATCCGAAAAATGAACGAATTTTGATATCACTCCTGCTGTAACATTTGGTGATAAGGTATATTCAACGACGATTGGCTCTGAAAACGGCTATTTTTTAAGTTTTTTAGCGAAATATATAATTTATTTTGTAAGCAAAAAAGTTGTTTGATTGAATGGTTGTTTTCAACGTTTTTTTTGAAGCAATATGATATGATATATGATAGGATAAGATGTAACTAACTTCCAGTGATAGTTATTGCGACCGTTGCTGCAAATTCGGAAAATTTTAACCGATCTAAAAATAAAACTTGTTTCACCAAAGTAGTGTACTGTAAATAAATCTAATATCAGATAGGGTAAATAGAATTTGGGCTAATTGAACGAGAAATGATCGAAATATAATCATCAAAAAAATTAGAGGAACAAATGAATGATTGAACTAATGACCGCATTGAACGATCTTCTGGTTCTTAATGCCGTTCTAACTCTTTGTTAAAATTTTTTAAAATTACATTGCATTTTTACCTCTGGAAGGATCTTCATCGATAAAAATTGTTTCAGTTGGACCATCTCTTGATGAGCACAAAATAAAACTTGTTTCACCAAAGTAGTGTACTGTAAATAAATCTAATATCAGATAGGGTAAATAGAATTTGGGCTAATTGAACGAGAAATGATCGAAATATAATCATCAAAAAAATTAGAGGAACAAATGAATGATTGAACTAATGACCGCATTGAACGATCTTCTGGTTCTTAATGCCGATCTAACTCTTTGTTAAAATTTTTTAAAATTACATTGCATTTTTACCTCTGGAAGGATCTTCATCGATAAAAATTGTTTCAGTTGGACCATCTCTTGATGAGCACATCACTAAAAGTTTAATATAAACCAAAATCAACTAGAAACTTTATGCGAATTTAGTAAATCCTAAGAAATTCAATTGGAAAATTATTCCAGAATATCCCTAAATTAGAAAATATTTAAAATGTGGCGAAAAATCTTTAGAAAAGAATTATTTTTTATTTCATTTTTTTTTTTTCTTACAGGATTCCTACAGGATGTTTCGAAATTTTTCGGTTCATTTATCATTTATCATTTCTCGTTTGATTATTTTATAATAGCTGTTATTTATTTTGTATTTCAAAAATCAAATTGATGATATCATTTATCATTAGTCGATATGCGCATTCAATTAATCTGTTAGTAATTCGAGAAATCGTACAATATAAATTTGTATATTTATTATTGATTGAAAAGCGATAAAATTACGAATAAAATCAGTGCACCACCGATTTATAAGAATATTTATCATAGTTTTATGAATATCTATCTAATCGCTATTAAATGGTACTATTTATCTGAACTATTTATTTCTTTGGAATTATCTTTATTCTAAAGCGATTCATAATTTTCCTCTTTTTCTATAATTTCCTTCTTAATCCCAAATATTTATCTCATCATATAAGTTTAAGAAGGATAATATAGGAAAATTTTTATGAATGAATGAATTAATAAAGTAAAATGTTAGAAACAAAACACTGAAAATAAACTACATTATTTTCTTCAGAATTCTCAAATATTCTCGTAGTTCACTAATTGATAATTTTAAATTTTCTCTAAAATAAAAATCTGGTTTAAAAACAAGAAAAAAAAAACGATAGAATGACCACGACAATTAATTCTGCGCAATAAAAATATAAAAATTTTATATACTCGAAAGATTGAGGAAAAAGTGGTGCGGAAAAAAAAGAAGATATTTTGTGATAATTTTTGTGAATTTTATAACAGCTTTATTTATAATAACTTGATTTACTTCTAACTGTATATTACAGATATCGTTATTAAAGAGATATCGTTAATATAGTGACTGATGGGCATACAAAATTTCTGACTATAAATGAGCATTAAAAAATTATAATTAAATTATAAAAAATTAATAAAAATTAGTACATTAAAATTTATAAATGTGAAAGCTACTGGATGCCAATAATATATTTAAATGAATAAACAATAACTTAAAAAATAATATTAATTAATATTTATATGATATTAAATACTTACATTATATTAAATAATATTTACAACACTACATAATATTTACATATTGTATTAAGAGGATAGAATAGCTCAGTGGGTTGTTGCTCAATTCGGAGTGCCCCATGCTGAGATTATATTTTCAGCATGTGAGTGAGTGCTACCCAAAAATCTGGATGATTCTGGCTACTGATCTGCGATTCTATTGCCAAGGCAGCACATTTGCCTGTTGTAATATACCAGTCTAATCAGTAATGGGGAGGACTGTTAAAAAAAGAAAAAAAAAGAATTCTTCAACAACGCAAGTTTTAGTTTTAGTTAAATGGATAACCATGTTTGAAGTGTTAAAACGTTTTTATTCCAAGCAATTTAATTAGCAAATGAATAGCCAACAAGTATTGTCATCACAAAATGAAAACATTCTAGGGATATTTGTAGAATAAAATGTGAAATTTTATACATAAGTATTATTTATATATATATATATAATAAATGAGAAAAAAATTTTTTTTTCTCAAGAGCGATCACCATTTCTGCTTAGGTTCGCATTTCTGGACTACCAAATCAAAGAAATTTTACCAAAGATTAACTTGAAGTACGGATGGATCGGTATCAGAATCCGCTCTTTTAATGGACAAACCTACGCTTTTGTGGGAGTAGAATCCAAGAATCGGCGCTTCGAAATAGAAGAAACAAATCACTGAGCCATTCTGTATTTTATTTAAAATATGCAATATGGGAATTTATAACGAATATTAAAAGATTTTGTTAGATGTTTCATTTAGAAATATTACCTGTCATAATGAAATGTAGAAAGAAAAATTGAAGAGCACAACCGGATAGGACGATCATAGCGAATCTCTATAAATATATTAGATTGATCGTAGAGAAAAAGAGAATAATTATAAGTTCAATTGAAAATTTATGAAGAGAATTTGGCAATTTTAGCAATGTTCATTAAATGATATTTTATTAACCAATTAATGATATTTTTTATTTTTTATAATGATAATAAATTAATTCGTAAATTTAACTTCGAATGATAACTTAACTGCTGATTAGCAAATTGTAATCAGTCGATGGACAATGGTTTACGAGTTACAATTTGATCTGCGAACTGATAAAATCACATAGAGGTACCAACAAAAATACTTTAATTTTAAAAATGGCAAAATAAAAAGCGAGAGATCAAAAAATGAGCTAAAAGAAATAAGGCGAAAT